CCCCAAAACCCCAAAACCCCAAAACCCCAAAACCCCAAAACCCCAAAAAATATATTAAATATTTAAGAAATGAATAAGCTCAACAAAGACTTAGTTGACCAAGTTAATTACAGTAAGCTTTCCAGGTATTATTGACCCCAGCTTTGTGCGACTGGAGCTGTCTTGGTACAATACTATTTGTAGAGTCTTAAATTCGAAGTTCAGAATTGATCTGGAATGTGAAATTTTCTATAGAGCCTTCAAACTTGAAAATTTCAGTCACACATCAGTATTTTTCAGCTTAACTTGATAGCCCAGCTGACAAGACAAATTCTATATAGTAGCTCAAACAACTCATTTATAGCCACCCAGGGAGGTTTTCCTACCAAGCTTCGTAAGTGAGTCTCTATAACTATAGGCCTATAAAATAAATCTGTGATGATTAATGAAGGCAGCTTGCAGAAAATGCTAACGAAAATAGAGGAAGGTCACAAAAACTTTGCTTCTAGTCCTGGTAAATAAATACAAGAATTCTTCTAACGAGTCCAGCATTTTAAGTAGCAGGGATAGGTAATTTTAGCCTAAATCTACATAGTCCTGGCCGCAAGATGCAGAAAAATAAATATCAAGGACTTCCATCCATGTCTATCAGGAACAGACGTATCCACAGAAACAACAAGTTGGGAGTAGACCTATACAAAAAGAAATAAGTAGGCTCTTGCACTTAATTATCTTCTAGGGTTGAAGTTAAAATAGACAAGATGATCACGCCTTATAATCCTCATTACATGATGTGCGAAAATATGGAGTTTAATGAGTACTATCTCGAAGGTAAGCCCATAAGCTAGAATTCTATAGCATTGAAGGATATCAAGCAATTCGAAAAATATAACCACAAGCTGTCTTCTTATGAGAAACACATGGTAAGATTCACATATTAATGAGTAGATCCTTAACCAAGCTTCTAAATAAACGCTGGACACATATAATGGACTTGATCTGTTCAGACAAGAAGAGTAAAGACTCATAATAATATAGAATAGCACAAACAGAAATAATGAGAAGAATCTCTAAATAAAGTATTTGCCTTGAATTTCCTTTAGAGACCAAAGCTTAAGAGAATGAAGAGTCGACAGAACAAGTCAAGAGTACCTCCAAAGTGATTTATAATACTAATTTATTAGCCCAAAGGCTATAAATGTTCATAAGACTTCAACTAATTTGCACTTTGTCTCTCTTAATAAGATCAAGGAAGAAGACAAAGATGAAAGCGGAGCTGGAGGACAAACCCAAAAGAATGCTCATTTCTGTAAGATTAAAATAAACTTTCTAGTACTTGATCCATCAAGTCCTATGAAGAGGCTTAAGAGTACTTATCGGATCCAAGACATGAATGACATGATAAAAAGGCTGAGCACGAACAAGGCACCTGATCGGTAATCTTTTATCTCTCATCTTTAAATAGCTCAATGACGGGTATCTTAAGTCTAATTCCTAGATAAAGCTACAGAGTTGTCTTTCTCTCCCAAATAACTCAAATCTTGCCAAGGAAAAATCTGGAATATGCTCAAAATTGGCTTATTATAGGGTAATCTTACTTTCAAGTCTGTAGCAATCTCGCAAGTGTAAACAGCCATGGATCTGATACTCTCCCTCCCCAAAGATAGTCTCATACAAGAGTATTACTATTCTTCAAGCTTTATAGGCAAGATAAGGTCAAATGAATCTCCTCTATCCCGTCTTGAAGGTATTTAAACATCATATTCTGAGCTATCTCCCAAGCCAAACCTCAGTTGGGCTCTTCCTCAGAGCTTAAAACTACGAATTCAGGAAACATTTCTCAGATTTTGACTTTTCGGATGCTTCTTGCTCTATATTTTATCACAATAATTCCTTTAGAAAAATACCCAACAGAACAGATTCTTCGGAAGAGAGTGGCTTCATATGAGAAGCTCCTGAAATCGAGCCAGATTTTTGATAAATACGATATTTACTCACCGAGCAGGAACAGGTTGTTCAGGTAGGCATTCTGCATAGGATACTCTATTAGACATCATTAAGGAGTCTTCCTACATGATAGACCCTTACCAGAGCTGTGACAAGCAGGATAACTTTGTATATAGCCAACTTGAAACTTCAATGCATAGTCTGAAGTCACAAACTCCGTTCTTAGAAAGAACATTTAAGAAGAAAAACAGGTGAAATTCACCTGATTTTTACTTGTAAAATTCTTGCTTAAGATAATTTTTATGATTTCTTTTTGGGCCAATGGTGCAAGGAAGATATTTTAAAGGCTTTAGAGAGATTCCACTTGCAATTTTAACCTATCCTGATGAAAATAGAACAGAAATGTGAGCTTTAATATGAATTTAAAATATAATCCAGAAGGATGTTTGAAGTCTCCTTTCTATAAAACCAAAACAAATTGACATTATCTCAACATCTTAGCTATTTCATTTATAATTTGCGATCTCTTGTCTAAAACTAATATTTTCTTGAAAAATATCGAATGAGGAATATTCAATATCACTTGGATAAGTTCCTGATCAAATTGAAAACTTGGCATATTGAAAATATTTAACATAATACTTAGTTAAATATATCGATGAAGGGTTTCAATTCAGTTACATCATGAGGGGTTTTGGGGTTTTGGGGTTTTGGGGTTTTGGGG